TTGATAGAGTTCCGCACCAAAGACTGTTGAAGAAAGTAGCAGCTCATGGCATTGGGAGAAGGGTGCTTTCGTGGATCGAATCATGGCTCACAGACAGGAAGCAGAGAGTGTCCATAAATGGGGTTAAATCCGAGTGGGGATCAGTAACAAGTGGCGTTCCACAGGGGTCATCTTGGGCCCGTTGTTGTTTATAATAATATCAATGATCTTGATGAAGGAATTACTAGTGATATGAGCAAATTCGCCGATGACACGAAGATAGGTAGGATAATTGATTCAAACGTAGATGTTAGGGAACTTCAGGAGGATTTAGACAAACTCTACTCTTGGTCAGAAAAGTGGCAGATGCAGTTCAATGTAGATAAATGCAAGGTTCTGAAGCTCGGGAGTGTCCATAACCCTAGCACTTATAAGTTAAATAATGTAGAACTTAGCCATACAGATTGCGAAAAGGACTTGGGGGTTATGGTAAGCAGCAACCTTAAGGTACTTAACTACTTGAGAATACACCGCCCTCTCTAGAATTTTAGATATTATACTGAGTATACTAACAGGCCTATAGTTGCTTACATCAGACCTACTATTTTTCTTGAAGATAGGAGTAACTCTGGCCTCCTTGAACCCCTCCGGTACGGTATTAGTGGTGATTGATAGATTTATTATGTGAGCAATAGGGATTGACAGTTCAGAAGCACCATCTTTTAGGAACTTAGACGGGATGTTATCAGGGCCTGTGCTCTTAGTTGGGTTTAACCTGCTTAGTTCTTTTTGAATAAAGTCTTGAGATACACTTACTAGTTGACAACTATTTGGGGTTACCCCTTTATTGGTAAGTATGTTTGAAAATTATCAGAGTCTGTGTTAAAGGTATTTGATGCAGCTGGTAGTTACTTACTAGTGTTGATGCAACGATGTGTAGTATGAATTAAAGCAATTTGCCACCTTAGATTTTTCGTGGCATCCCTCATTATCGTTTGTGAGTACTATTTTTAACCCCCCTATCTACTGGCTTTTGGCTATCCCCCAACTGTTTTGGGTTGTTCCCGGGGAGCTTTCTAGGGGTTATGCTTAAACTCTTAAATTTTTGAGAAGTGTGTTTTCCCTTTTCCCCTCCTTTTATAATCGTACTCGTTCCCCCCCTTTTGGGAATTCATTTAGTGTTTAAAAATTTCCTGTCTGTTTGTTTAAATCTTTTTAGCACGGGTCTCTTTTTTTTCCCATATTTCAAATCTCAGTATCTTTCCAGGTTAAGTTTTTTCTTTTAAATTTCCCTAACCTTTTTTAAAACGGGTGCAATATTGTAAAGGAGGGGAGTGAACATTTTTTTTAAAAATTTTTTCCCGGGCATCTTTTACGCCCCGTGAAATTTGTTTTCTGTCCGTCACTTTTGGGTTAGCCTTCTTACCAGTGTTTTTTTTTACTGTTTCTAGTTAACCCCATTTTTATTGTCCTGTGTAAGGGCCCTTTCCCATCCCTAGTGATTTTTTTTGGGGCAGTAAATGATGAAATGGGCACCTGAATGCTAATGTTTTTCCCGCGCGGTTACAAAGAATGGGGGTCAATTAAAGGGGGGCTGAAAAACTGTTTTTTTTCCCGGGGTTTGGGGTATTAAAATTTGTTAGTGTAAAATATTTTTAATTCCCAGGGAATTTTTCTTATTTCCTTTTGCATAGGGCCCCTTATTTTGGGGGCTGAAACAGATAAATTTAAGTCCCCCCAGTATTTTTGTCTCGCGTTGTTTTTTAACTCCCGGAAAAAGACTCGGGGAAAAATCTTCTAAGAAATGGTCCTGGGGAGGAGGGCGGTAACAGTTCCACTAAGTTGGGGTTTTGGGCTTTTGGGGGCAGCACTTCAAAACCATAGAATCTCCAGTTTATTGTTTTTTTAAAACAGGGCTTTTTGGGGTTTTAAGCTAAGTCATTTTTAATGGGGCACATACTCCCCCCCCACCCTTTCTGTTTTCCCATCTAAACGGGTTTAAAATTGTAAAACCCCTTTGTTGACCTCGTCGTCAGTCACCGTATCAAACCAAAACCCAAAATTCAGAGATGGTTATAAAATGCCGCCCTAATTTTTTTTTTGCTAGAACCTAATCTCTGCCAATTTTTGGAAGAAGTGATCTTGCATTGACATGAAAAAAGTTTAAGGCCTGTTTTCATAAAACAATTAAATCATCAATATATGGCAAGGGCAATTTTTTATTAAAATTAGGTAAAAACAAAGTCATCACTGCTAAAAAGGGAAAATGTGCCAAGTGCATTTGTTACACACAAAAAAAAAATTTGGCACCGTTCTATAAAATTTTAATACAAACCCTCATGCCCCCACCCCTTTTCAACAGTGGTTTCCCCAAAATTTTTTAGCTTTTTACCCAAAATTTAAAACATGCCACATAAAGCAAAGTTACCCCCTTTCACAAAAAGTTTTTATTTTTGATATATATGGCTAAAAAGTGAAAAGTTTTACAGGCCCCCCCCGCTACTCTGCTAAACCCACCAAAAAACCTTTTTTAAAAAGTAAGAACCACAATACAAATATTAAAAATTAATAATAGGGTACAAATTCACAGTAACAGTGGGTAATACTAACTATATACTGCACGGGGCAGTACACATACATACCAGCTTGTGTCTACCTCGGCTGATGCTCACAGATAAACTGACAGTGTGAAATAGAGGCAGCCTCGGGAAGTGAGTGACGTGTACTGGACAGGTCGATCGGGGCTACTGAGTGACTTGTCCTGAAGCATACTTGTCAAAATACTTTTGGGTTTCCACACACTTAGCTTTTATTCTTCTTTTCTAATACTGTATATTAGTTTTTGATGTTTATTGTTATATGGTTTAACTTTATTACTTACTTATAATAGGTTTACTTTACAACTTTATATACTAAGACAAAGTTAACAATAATCCTCATATCGGGTACCGCTTTGGGTTTCTTGATTTTCAGAATTCATAACTTTTTTTCTGTCACCCCTCCATTACCCCCCAAAAATGGTTAAATTACCCCCAGGGGGTTATTTACCCCCAGTTTGGGAACCACTGCCTTACACATTTTACATAAGGTGCCTTTTCTGTTTTTCATGCGTACTTTAGTACAGTGTATGCACCTGTTTGGTAGTGTTTGAGATAATAATGGCTGTATTGTCTCACATTGACCTATGTATGCATTACATATGGAGTTAAGGTTATCATTCCTAGCTACTAGACCGTCATTATCGCCGTCATTTATCTGTCTGTTTTGCCTCTGCACAATAGTTTGAGGTCCTGGATTAATTTGGATATCACCACTTAAGAGCGCTACAATAAGAGCTGTGTGCCACTTTTTTTGTTTGGGTATGCGGTGTGCCATACCTTTGCGGCGATAGTGATTTTATTTTTTCTGGAGGATGGCAACTGTGGCTTTTACTGTCCAGGGCGCGTTACTCCATTCACCTTTCCACCCCCCATGACTGATTTCTTTCTTCATGGAATTGAAGAAGAAATATAAATATAATTTTGGCAGCCTGTACCCCCCTAATGCCTGCCATTTTCACTCTTCGCTCTTTTACTCATATACAATAATAATTTTTTTCTCTTTTCCAGTCCCTAGTACACTTAGTATCTGCTTTAGCAATCACCACTGAATTACTAGTAAAATTTCCTCTTCAAAACCTTTTCCCCTGCTCACTTTTCCCTTAACTTCACAAACCCCTTACAGTTAACCCCTTATTTTCACACTCCCCTTCCCATCTCACTTCACAGTCCTGGCTTCACCAATTAACTTCTAACTCCTTCCATTCTGGAAGATCAGAAAAGGGTTTTAAACCCCTGGTTTTATCCTTCCAAATCCCCCTCAAATTCCATTTATCAGGGGGTTGTGTGGTGTTGTTGTCTCCTGACCTGTTCTGCTGACTCAGCCATTTTTAAAACACTGAGGGGAGTAACGCCACCTACAACCTGACTTTCCTTGAGTTTATAGATATATTTGGCGTTTTATGCTATGATTCTCTCACTGTACACTGGTCAGCTGAATATAGGTCAGCTACTAAAACATTAACCTTGACTGTTTAACTATTCACTTCTTTCTCACGACTGGCACTGAGGGATATCCGACCTATAACCTTGGAGTTTTATACTGTTGTTTTGACGATGTCTCCTGTGTTTCCCTCTCGTTAGCACTGGTACAGGTGATATGATGGCATGTTGCACTGTAATAACTGTATTCCTTTGTACTTCTCTGTATCATGTTCAAATAAATAAATAAATAAATAAACTACTATTGCTATTACTACTACTACTACTACTACTACTACTACTACTACTACTACTACTTCTTTTCTTCTTCTTCTTCTTCTTCTTCTTCTTCTTCTCTTTCTTACCTTTCTCTTCTTCTTCTCCTTCTCCTTCTTCTTCTTCTTTCCTTCTTTCCTTTCTTCTTCTTTCCTTCTTCTTCTTCTTCTTTTCTTCTTCTTCTTCTTTTCTTTCTTCTTCTTTTTCTTCTTCTTCTTCTTCTTCTTCTTCTTCTTCTTTTTCTTTTTTCTTCTTCTTCTTCTTCTTCTCTTTCTTCTTCTTCTTCTCTTCTTCTTCTCTTCTTTTTTTCTTTTATTATTATATTATTATTATTATTATTATTATTATTATTATATTATTAAATTTTTATTATTATTATATCTAATTAATTTAAGCCTTGCCCATATGCCTGTATACAAGGGCTTTGGCTGTACATCACCACTGTATTCTTTGTATAATATGTATTATGTCCAAATAATAATAAATAAAAAAATATATAAATAATAAATCTCCCTTTAAAATTGGCGGGCTCTTTGCCTAATGTTCCATCTAGAAGGCCCGACTTTAGCTGACCCTTAACACCTGTACACTCAAATTATTCAATTTTCTCTTTCGCTAATTGTTAAAGAAGCATTAATATTAGCATCTCTAATTTTTGATCTTTAAAATATTAGTACAAATCATTTACAGGGCATAAATATAACTCTGAGCTTGGATTTATATTCGGACACACTCGTCCAACTCTTGTGATGGTAAACAAGAAACACTGCGACTTGAACTTTTATATGGGAACTGCACGTATCCCGAGGAACTTTTATATAATATAGTGCAAATATGTCTCAGATAGGACCTGGCAATGGGCAGTGCAAGGGTAAAGGTAAGTGATTTATCTGGATAATAATGCTTGGTTGTACATCGTTCCTTGACTGGTCCAGTACTTGTGAGATTTCACCAAGTGATGTTCAAAATGAGATAGGTGAATAGTTTTGGGAATCACCTTGCACTCGAAATTCCTGTTATGGGTTTGTCTTAAATCATTGTTATTGAACGCTGAGTCACCTACACAAAGTGCTTTGTAAATAAAAGATTTTTTTTAAATATAAACTATTATTATTACCGAAACTCTCCAATATTTTGAATACAGTTGGGCTAACCTGTTACGGTATGCAGAGAACTTTGATGTTCTAAATATGATTTGCTTATAAAGTTGTAAGTCTGTAGTAATGAATATTTGTATCATTAATTGTATCATAAATGTTTCTCATTGTATCTCATAAATGTCTAACCTGTGACCCAATCAAACTTTATTAATTACTTTTTTTAATTACATTGCCTAACAGAATACTCCAATCTACTGAATGCTCAGCAACACAGTAAATGACCATATGACCTGTCTTTGTAATACTCATTTGTGCTATATTGTTATCTGTTTACAATAATGTATTTACCACTGAATATATCATTGCTTAGTTAATCTTAAGTTAATTTTAAGCCTGCCCATAATGCTCTGCATACAAGGGGCTTTGGCATGTTGCACTGTAATAACTTTGTACTTCACTGTATCATGTTCAAATTAATAAATAAATAAATAAATAAATAAAGCCAAGGTCACAGTAGAGAATAGAATGTATTCAGATTACTAACCTGGGTTTAGTAATCCAGGATAACCCAAGAAAGTCACTGTGGCTTATTTCCATTGTGGTCTTACCCAGAATGTTACCCAAAAGTAGTAACACTAAAGTACCTACTTATTGCTAGGTCAACATTATCTGTAGGTCGACTGAAGAGGGTCATAATGAATATTACACATCCTTTCAAAGTTAAATGCTGAGCTATAAGCTAGACTATACAAATAGCTGGTTAAGTGCATTTTCTGACAATAATAATAATAATTTAGCTATTACAGCTTGCATATTTATGTCAAATTATCACATCAACTAGACCACATTAAAATTCGAACTTGAAATTTACCCTTGAACAGATACAAAAGATGCATAATAATATAGAATGTCAGTGATTTCACCAATGTTACCAAGACACCAATCACTCAGAATTCTGATATTTTCCTGCTGGCAAAGAATTCTCCATTACATAGACTGAGTAAAGTCATAAGCAAACATTAACCACAGACAAACCTATATTATGTTTTTGGATAACTTGCAGTTATATTTTAACAAGTCAGTGAATCTGTTCCCTAGATAACTCATCAACATCTGTAATTTGAAAACTCAATGACTTAGATAACTAGCTACCAAAATATATATTATACATGGAAAATGCATGTTCAGAGCCCTCCTCTGCAAACTAAAATATACATTGGGGTAAATAACATAAAGCAGAAAGGCTGCTGCAGCAGGTTTGTTAACCCATTCATGGCATGTCTGGACCTAAAGCCGTCCACTCATATGTATTCCTATGTAAGTCTGATTTTTTGTATGGTGTCTTACTGTACTATATTTCACTGATGTTATCAGGTCACCACTTGGTCAGAAGAAATCTTTATTTTCTTACTGGCAAAGAGTTCTAATACACAAAATTTTAGTCAAATTATCCTCAAGCACTAACCCTATATAATGACACATGGTCACCTACCAGCATGCTCACTTTAAGTTTGCTCTCAAGGTGAATATCCAAGAATTTTCTCTCCTCTTGCAGCATTTAACCTTATGTTAAAATGCCATATAGTAGGTTAAGGTGGTATTGAGTGTTAATTTATTTGTTGCCATCCACATTTTCTAGGTCAGCATTGACTATGTTGAACCAACAATATTTGAATTGGAGATGAAAAAGGCAGGGTTGTCTGTGAATAAAGCTGCTTAAAGTTGTTGAGACATAAAGGAGAAATAAAAGTGGTCATAGGATACTGCCTTATGGTGCTCCTATGTTGATTGCTTGAGTAGATGACATCATTTATAGTCATGCATCAGAGTCACTCATTAAGGTAAGAGAATGATTGACATTATTACATAATGTTCTAGCTTAAAGAAAAGGATGTTGTAATATTCTGTGCCAAAGCATTTCTTAGATCAGTAAAGAGGGCTATTGGCATTTTGGTGTTTTCTGGAGATGTTTAGATTGAATCAATCATTTCTATTGTTGTATCATTTGCACTTTTTTTTTTTTTGGGGGGGGGGGTGAAATCAAACTGGAAAGGATTAAGAGTGTTGCACAGTAAATTTATTTACTTGTATATTACATTTTTCAATTATTGTAGATAGCAACTATGACTTGTTATTAATGAATATATTGTTTAGGTAATGCACATAATGATTGTTGTCATCTCTCATATAAAGCAACACTACATAGTGTGATTTTGTCTGAATGTGACTGAAAATGTGCATACTTTTTATGCTGCACAGCACTTTAGAAAAGCCTTGATAGTACCTTCCACAAGTGTGGAAGCATTAAGTTATGTGCTAAATCTAGGAAGTCTGCTGAGGAACAGCTCCTCTCCTTGGCTACCCACATTTGGTTTCTGGGAGTGTTGTGTCCATTATTCACTGTTTATCAAATTTTTTTTAGATATTTTCATAGCTCAATCTAGTCTCTGGCACCCAAGAAGAAGAAAAAAGTAGCTGGGAGTGTCAAGAAGAATAATAGTAATGAAGAAAGTGAAAATTTCAGATATACTCCACAGACCAAAAATATTGGCGCACTGCCAGTATTTTCGGTGTGTAAAAGTCTACCATCTATATAATTAAGAAACAATTAGAAGAAAATAAGAGCTTGTGCAATGAATAGTGCAGATTGTGACCTAGTGAAAAGACTATAAAAGATGTCAATATTGTAGGGGTAAAACAGACTTAAGATGCATTACAAAATACTAATGTATTTGAGCACTCATGTATAACTATTGACAGTTCTGCAGCCACATGAGTGGATGGGTAGATGAGTGGAACAGTTTGTCTAGTAGGGTTATTGAAGCTAAAACGTTGGGTAGTTTCAAATTTAGGTTAGATAATTACATGAGTGAGAGGGGTTGGATTTGAGTGAGACTTGCATAATGAGTAAATAGAATCATCAAAACTTATTACTTGGGTAGCATTGAAAATTTGGTTGGGCAAATATTTTGTTAGTGGGAAGAATTGTAAAGGACCTGCCTAGTATGGGCCAACAGGCCTGCTGCAGTGTTCCTCCTTTCTTATGTTCTTAAATGACTGCCTGACTTCAGCCCATTAGGGCCACATCAACCCTCTCCACAAACTTCTATATGAGCAAGTAACGATAACTGAAATATATGGTAATACCTGGAGTTTACCTGGAGAGAGTTCCGGGGGTCAACGCCCCCGCGGCCCGGTCTGTGACCAGGCCTCCTGGTGGATCAGAGCCTGATCAATCAGGCTGTTACTGCTGGCTGCACGCAATCCAATGTACGAGCCACAGCCCGGCTGGTCAGGTACCGACTTTAGGTGCTTGTCCAGTGCCAGCTTGAAGATTGCCAGGGGTCTATTAGTAATCCCCCTTATGTATGCTGGGAGGCAGTTGAACAGTCTCGGGCCCCTGACACTTATTGTATTGTTTCTTAACGTGCTAGTGACACCCCTGCTTTTCATTGGGGGATGTTGCATCGTCTGCCAAGTCTTTTGCTTTCGTCATGAGTGATTTTCGTGTGCAAGTTCGATACTAGTCCCTCTAGGATTTTCCAGGTATATATAATCATGTATCTCTCCTAGTGGAATATTTAAAAAAAAATTGCTTGGTAAATTGGGAGGATTCTGGATGTAATAATTTTTCATGTACAGTGGAACTCTGGTTTTCGTACTTAATCCATTCCAGAAGGTCGGTCTAAAACTGAAACGTACTAAAACTGAATTAATATTTCCCATAAGAAATAATGTAAATACAGTGGAACCTCTACTTATGAGTGCATCCACGTGCAAGTTTTTCCAGATACGAGCAGTTGCTCGGTCGATTTTTCCTTCCAGACATGAGCAAAATTTCTAGATGCGAGCAGGCCTCAAGGGAGGTTCCTTAATAATATTTATAATAATAATAATATCTTTATTTACTACAAGTACATGTACATGGTATACAGGCCTAGCTGACATCAATGACATACTACTATATAGAAAGCCCCTTGTTATGCTGAGCATTTCGGGCACATTAGGTCAGTGCCCCAGGATGTGACCCACACCAGTCCACTAACACCCAGGTACCCATTTACTGATGGGGAACATTGACAACAGGTGGAAAGAAACACGCCCAATGTTTGTACTCTGGCTGGGAATCGAACCCAGGCCCTCGCCGTGTGAAGCGAGAGTGCTAGCCACCAGAGCCCCCAGAGCCCCGTTGATGCTGGTGAGGGGCTTTTGCTCTTGATCTAGGGAATTGGATCTCAGTTGTTTGTTGGACTATCTTATTGAAACTTGGGCAATGTATGATGGAAAGATGCTTTCTTAACGTACACCAAAAATGAAAAAAATCGGACCATAAATAACAGAGTTCACTTCTCAGCCATTAGCCTCCCCTTAGTGGCATATTTTCGTATGGTTTTTATGGTTGTATTCTCGTTTTTTTGGTCTCATTTGATAGAAAGGAAGATATACTACAGAAATAGATTATGAATTTTGATGGCGTTCATGGCAAAACATGTAACCTGAGAAACTGAACAGGGGCAACTTTGAAGCAGATGGCAATGACATGAAGACACATGGAAACATAAGCGAGTGGCAGACATAACATGCAACCAGGCAGCATGGCAGACATCATGAAGCAGCAATGGCAGATGACATGAAGCAGCAATGGCAGATGACATGAAGCAGCAGTGGCAGACATCATGAGGTAGCAGTGGCAGACAACATGAAGCAGCAGTGGCAGACATCATGAAGCAGCAATGGCAGATGACATGAAGCAGCAATGGCAGATGACATGAAGCAG